AACATAACAAAATTGAAAAAAGTGAAGGGGGTCTGAATACTTTCCGAATGCACTGTATGTAATAGCATTCAAACATGCAATCATCATCTGAAACCTTAATTGCCTTGAGACAGGAAGAACAGTTATTGTACACTAATTCTGTATATTACATTGGTTTAAGACTTTTTATTCTTGCATTTCATGATTTGTCCAGATAGCTGTGATAATGGAGTAAGTACATTTTCAACTGAGTGACAAAAGTTCACAATGCTGTTGTGTCTTGGATTGTGCTACTGTCACATCCAGTTGTTGAAAGGAAGCACGGGGATGCTTTAAGTAATTCAACGTTTCCAAGTGTTTATAACAGAAGTTGGTGTTGCCTACAATCATACCTTTTTCTTTCAATAAATGTGACTGGTTTGTGCTACTACTTGCTTGTCCAGCAGGGGGCAGCATTATGAACGGCTGCTACATAGGTAAAACAGGACTAAATTTAGAAGCCAAAAATAACAAGGAAATGAATATTTAAGATCTTTTGGGCTGAAGGTAATAATATACAGAAATCAAAGCAGCCAGCATACAATGCTATGCTTGATTCTCTACTACAATTTATTATACACATTTACAATCCACAAATACATAAAAAATCTGTACACATCACATTACAATACATACTAGCCACCAGTTGCTAGCTAATAGAACACTAACAGGACCTGAATACAGCTGCCTTAGAACAGGCAGAGGATTGTTTTCCTGGGCCTGGGATTTCCCCAGTTACACATTCCAGGATAACACACATTAATACGGACAGCCATCCATAGCTGTGTCTCGTTCCGAATCAGGAAAACTCTCATTCGGATGACAAAGACTGGGGTGTCTCCTGCCTTTGCATCATTTCTTCATCTTCATGTCTGCTTCAATGGCACAACGACGTCCTCTGGTTCCCCCATCCTATTCAAAATACAAAGGAAAAGGGAAAACACTGTTATTAGCAAGACTTGTACAAAGGACAGAGAGGCTTGGCTGCTATCTGTGTTACCAGGAAAGACTCAGCACCTAGACTGACAATATGCTTTCCTTCCTATAACACAGAGGATTCTTTTCTGAAACTGATTGTGGGGTCTGTGTGTCAACTCAGGAGCAAAAGGGGGAATTATGTGTCATGGCTAGTTTGGGCATCCTTGGCAGTTATACTTGTTATTTTTCTTGCATGTAAACAATGCTAAGTCATTTCTTCAAGCAGACAGAAATATTGTTGTCTAACATACCTGATCAACTGCTGCTCTTTACAGAAGATCTCTTCCAGTTGCATGACCCTGGCACTATTTTCCCTAGCATCTCCTCACAGCGGCTCTCCATGAATGTAGGGCAGTCAGATAGCTTATTTCCATTTGCTGCCCTCTCCATCTGGCTGCCTGTCCTCATGTTTCTCTGTCTTAATAGATAAGTATTAGAAATGATCCTCAATCCTATTCTTTTGGCTGGAGGATGAACCTGCCAAATGTATTTTTGGCATATTGAGAGACAATGGTTGCCTGGATTACCCACGAAAGGAACAAACAAGCCACTGTATTTTAGTTTTCTGATAGTTCTATACCCTATACAGTCTCAGAAACTTGGTTCACATGAGTCACAGAATCCTAGAACTGAAAGGAGCCATTGAAACCAAGACCTCATTTGGCGCAAAATTCAAATCAAAGTATCCACAATAGATAGCTATCAAAGGTTTGCTTGGTGTATTCAGTAAAGGGTAGCCCACCATCTCTTTTGCTAACTGTATGATTGTCAAATTGCTTTTATTGTTAGGAAGTTTTTCTTAATTCAGCCAGAATCTGTCTTTCTGTAATTTAAGTCCATTATACTAAGCCATTATACTAAGTAGTATACTACTACTTAGATTATTATAATACAAAAGCATAATAGATTTTATTTGATTTTGATTTTGGCTTAGCATGTTGTGAGAATCCAGTGGTGGTGAATTCAGTAAATCATGGCTTAGGAAAGTATCTGAACCAAGCCACTGTGTGGTTGAAGGACTGCAATGATGGAACACCAACTCAAAAAAAAAACAAAAACAAAAACCTTTAATGAAGCAGGTATGGCTGGAGAGGAATGAAACTCCTCTCTGTAAGAGGAAGCAAATTCAACCAAGTTTACATGCCTTCATCTTTAAAATATGTGAGGAATCAAGGTATTCAATATATTCTCCTCCACTACTGAGCAATAAATGTGTGCTGTATTTTTTTTTATATATAACAAAATAAAATATAAATGATTGTAAAAATGATACATCATCTCAGAGTGACTTCAAATATCAATGATATATTACCCAACTGTGGCCATGAAAATTTACCTATTGGATTTTGTTATTGTTTTTAGGCTTTGCTGTTTATGCCATACTGCATTTTACATAACTTATCTAAATTGTAAGTTGCTCCAACAACACTATATTCTGAAGTTCCGAAATATTTAAACAAAGAAATAAAATAATATTTTCTCCACCTAATCATAGTTGAAAAACATGTGTTAATATGTGAGAATCAGTTCTCGACTATTCAACTGGGCAAATATGATTAGAAAACCACAATATGCAACAGGTTCTCAATGCAAGTTCATTCAGCAAAACAGATGCATGCATATCATTTACATACAATATGTATTACTTTTTCCAGAGCAGATAGAGCAAAAGTATATTCCATGAAGCAAGGCTAGCAAAGCCTTGCAGCAATAAGCAACGTATACTGGAACTATGAATCCAAGAAAAGCATACAAAAGTTACCCAAAAAACAACATTCTAGCAGAAAGTAAGGCTCAGACAGCACTTACAATCAAGCACTTTATATGCACAAACAATTATTAGGCAGAGAAACTGAAACTGACCACTCTAATTCAAGATGACAAAAGTGAGAAATGCAACATAAAACCTTGGATCTTTTAATAAAGTTTGATATTTGGAGCACAATTAGGGTTCTACTTCTCCTATGATTTTTTTCTTTATAAAGCTTCTATTTATATACATTGCCTTCTTTTTCTAATGAACCATTATAATCAAATTTGAAAGCATTTCAAAAAGCATTATTTGGGCATATTATTATTCTAGTATTTTCTTGTTAAGAACTGAATTAATTTGTTCTCTGTTTTACATTTAATTTGTCAACAGTTCCTTCAAGAAGATCAGGGCTACCTGTTTCAGCCATTCTCTTCTTAACAACAGCCTTACAGAAGGGTTAGGTTAAAATTTAGACACTGGTTTAAAGTTATCTAAAACATTACATAATTTAGTAGGGGTCTGAACAGGAGTCCTCCTGCTACTCCCTCAACCCTAACAACTACAATACTTATCCTCAATTCTTTGGACCTTTCTGGGATATATAACTGCTTAACTCTGGAATTCCCTGCCCAGGGAAAATCAGCTCTATCCAGATTTTTACAAGGTGTTTCTTTTTTTAATTAGAAGATTTTATTCAAATATTTATGTTCAAGGAGGATGACTAGCACTGGCATGGTTCTATATTTAAATATTTGTAATGGTATTTGCAGACTACCTAAATATTTTGTTGCAGTTTTATTGTACTGTTATATCTCTAAAAACCACAAGTGTCCTGTGGACTAGTAAGGAAGAACTATGGAAAGTGCTGCAAGCCAAGATATGATTAAGTTTGTTACCTTCAATAAGCAACTTGGTCTTTTCAGCATGCTGAAGACAATCTTGTGAATTATATAGAGCTATAAATGTAAGGCACAGAAGGATCTTCCACCCAAAAATGACAAAAACCCCTATCCCTAACATACAATTAAAACACTACAGGTAGTCCTGGACTTATGACCATTTATTCAGCAACTGTTCGAAATTATGATGGTGCTGAAAAGTGACTTATGAGCAGCCCTCGAAGTATTTATTTGTCACATTTATGTTACGGCTGTTGTAGTGCCCTCCACGGTCACGTGATCACAATTCGGGTGCTCAGCAGCCTGCCTGCACTTACGACCACAGGAGTGCTTCAACTCCGCCCACCCACCTATCTCCCCCACATCTCTGCCCTTTTGGCTGCCCTGCACCCTGCCTTGTTGGACAGCAAGAAGCCCCAGAACCGCGTGGCTCTTGGGATGCTTGCCATGCCCCGGAAAGCCGCAGCCGCCCCAGCCCAGTCCCAGCTGCAATCACCCTCACCACTCTGCACTCCGAGACCCCTGCCACCCTGCGCTCCACCACCCTTGCTCAACTTGCTGTCTTCTTGCTCCCACTGCTGATGAAGCATGCCCGGCCTGGCCCTTCATGCTAAGCAGCAGCAGCAAATAGGGAAGGCAGGAAGTGGTTTTGCCCAATGGGAAAGGGCCGAGGGGTTGGCTCAGGGAGCCACGTGTAGGAATCATTTGCCGGAGAAACTGCTTGCAAAGGGGTTTGCTTTTGCCGGCTTTGCGTGCTATTATTTATTATTATGGCCCCTCTGCACAAAGCCGGCAAAAGCAAGCTCCTTTCCGAAGGGGTGGGTCCTCGGCTAATGACTGGTGAAATTCGCTTAACAATGGCAAGAGGAATTGCCAGGATTGCAGTTGCTAAACAATGCGGTCACATGACATCTCACTGTATGACCGCATCACTTAGCGATGGAAATTCCAGTCCCAATTATGGTTGTAAGTCGAGGACTACCTGTACAAAGGAGCATTGAGAGTTTCTTAGATTTCACTAACAACAGACCTATAATCTTATCATTTTAGGAAGCTGCATATCATGTATTCAATGTTCCCAATCTTGTTTAGCTGTGTAAATGTGATCGTCAAGTACTTACAAAGAGAGAAAGAAGGAATGCTGGGGAGCCCATAGGGCCACTGTCCTATTAAGAAACAAACAGAAGGGGTGAATGGATTTGAGAAGAATAAATACAATATATCCAAGTACCTAATTGTAATCACAGTCACTGTTCCATATGTTCTGCACTCAGAGCCAAGAATCTCCAATTTATATGATACTATTAGCAACACAACCTTAAAGTTTAAATACCAAGAAACCAAGAGTTTGGTGGCTTCAAAAACTGCTCTAAATCCTCTCATGCAGATGATATACTAAAAGTCTCAAACCATTTCCCTCAAAGGCAAGATTCATCAGCTCTTAGTAGTCCTACCTTCTCCGAAGCATCTTGTTTCCGAGTAGAATCTCGTCCACGGAGACTTTTTGCACTGATCCCAGACTCATTTGTCTGCATTATCAACTGTGTGGCTAGAAATTGCTAAAAACAAAAATCATCACACAGTATGTATTAGGATTCAGACATGAATGTAAAGTTTAGCATCTCACCGTCATGACACTGGAAACAACTGGCTTGTTTTTAACCCTGTATTCTTCTTGCTTGCTCTGAGATAGTCAGGTATCAGTCTTGTCAAGTTAACCTGTTTCCTTCTATTCTAAGCCAAGGAGACATTAACAGTACCAAAAGGAGCAGGCCACTTCCCTAAGGACATTAACTTCTCCCATGTCAAATCAGCATAGGAATGTTGTTTAATGAAGATATTAGACTGTGCCTCTACCTGAATCTGCTCCAAGACATCTCGCTGCATTTCCACGGCCATGTGATATACATCATGATCAGAGCTGTTGTACATAACAGCATTTTGGAACATCAGCATAATATCTCGTTGGAATTCTGCTGTGGTTCGGATCAACCCATTCTCAATATTTTTTTTAATTGTTGACAAATCCATTGGCCTGTAAATGAATCAAGCAAACAAGTTTTGTCTTAAAAATAAATTTTAGAAAAAGATTCTAAACATCAGAACACCACTTATAAAATGAGTTGTTCTCACATTTTTCTTTGCTATTTTATTTAGTATTAGACTGAATGAGCCCCAGGCAAGAACATAACAGCAGCAGCAGACTAAGGACTGGTGCTGGTGGGTGACTCAGTATCAATATAAAACCAAAGACTAACCTCTGTACAATACTATGGTAGCCTGGAGCAATATCATCAGTCACGGGCTGTAAGAAGACATTGGCATACCTGTCCAAAGAAATGACAGACATATTAGTCCTAAGGCAATAGGCATAATTCCCACTTGAAGAAGCCTGAAAACTTTTTCTAATATACTTCCCATTTATTTGTTCAATATGCTGTATAAGGAAATGTTGCAGCCTGAAAGCCCACTATCTGTGACTTGAATTCCACAAAAAAGGAACTGCACATTTGCACCATGTGCATACAACAGGGTAAAGCAAAGCTGCATTATGTACAGGAGTGAGCAGTAGCAAGCATGCAAAAGACAAGTAGATGCAGCACCAAGAGAAGAGATGCTAACCCCTGATCACCAGATATCCACTGCTTTTGAAAGCTTCTACCAAAATTAATTCATTTTAAGCATTTTCTAATGCAGCTCTATGTGTCTGGTAAGGACTTTTTGGTGGGAAGGTGTTAAAGTAAGAACTTTAGAGCTTCAGAGGCTGCCAGACTCTGTGCTAAAGGCTCCTATGGATATGTCTAGACCATAATGAATGATCAGTTTTTAAAAAATATTTTTGGTCAATACAAAATTCTCTCTCTATATAAATTTTTTTTGATAAGAATTGCAGATGGCAAGCACACAATTAAGAGGGTCTCCCCACCCCATCATCCTACACAAGATAAGCTTTCTTTTAAGATGATTCTTGTTGTGACACACAAATATCTATTTCTATCTTCTGGGAGAAAGTCCCAAGATCATTGATTTACCTGTGATTAGCAGCTGCTCTCCAAACCAGCATAATAGCCTTCTTCCAGATTTTTTGTGCCTGAATAGCCTCCTGATCTTCACTGCAAACAGAGCTAGAGAAAAACAGGAAAAGCCATCCTTCAGAAAAGGATACAAGTACTTTACTTCCCAAAGTAAAGCATATGAAGTAGGATCTAGTAATGAACTCTGACTCTCAACAGGAATCCCCATCTCTTTTACATTTTCCTGCTAGCAAAAAAAGATGGCTGCTCTCCTCGCAGCTGGAGTCTAACCATGAGGCTCCACCACAAAGCCACAACTCATTAGATAATGTTCTAAGTTAGACAGGTCCCAACTAATACACACGACAGACCACTGTACAAAGGGACAAAACTATATCTAGCCTTCAGCCAGCTGGCAATTTGCCCTGGGGTATCTACTGAGTAGCCGGAGGTTGACCAATACTCACAACTGTGAGGAGGCAGGGCTGCTGGGGATGGAATCAGCCAGCGTGTGAGACTGCAAAGGTGCATTATGGATACTGAAGCCATCATCACTCTCACTCACAGGGGGCTCATTGTCCATTTCTGAGAGATATCCCTCACCCTGATCTTCCTCTTTGGGCTCCTCCAAACTGGCAGCCTCGCTGGCACCATCCTCCTCATCCTCTTCACCCTGAGCATCCCGAAATACAGGATTAAAAGTCTAGCAAGTCAGCCCAGCCAAGATGTAGCTGCCAACAACAGCACTTGCGCCAGCCTCCAAAGATGACGGTTGCAGGGAAAGCAAAAGCTACATGCAGAAACACTCCACGTATGGCAGAACATGCTCAGGGAGAGGCCCGTGCCAATCAGCTTCCCCATCTAATCTTTACTGCCTGATTAGATGTTCAGATGGAGCACTGTCTCACATATCTGAAGATGAACTGAGGGCCTTTTTAAAGCCAGGACCTTCTCAGCAGTGACATCACCATTGACAAGCAAAGCTGGACAATTCCTTTAGATTAATAGTAAATAGCACTTTTCCCACAAGTCATTGGCAACTACTGAGGTTTTGTTTCTCCTTGATTTTTGTAATATTATTCTTCCTGCTTACATTATGGATGATACTGCTGCCCTTTTCTTTTTACTTGTCTGATTGTAATTACGCTGTATCTAATACATACAAATAATTACTTAGGAGAACCTTGGCTAAAAAAAAAAATGTATAAAAACTCCTAATAGTAACACACAGCTGTAAATGAAGCATGATCTGACACCCCTCCCCACCCCCAGCTTCCCTGCCCACCCTTTCCCACAGCTTCCAGAAAAGTTAACTAATCCCATCTGATTTCTGGGCATCACTATGAGTCGGGATGGGACTCTGCGTTAGGTCTGGCTTTCTTTGTCTAGAGATCAGTTGCAAAACAAAAAATGGTTGCTTTCATCCTGCACATATGCAAGGATTAAATAAAATACCTTCAACTGGTTTTCAAAAAGAGCTTGAGCTTCATCTTTCATTGATTCTGAGAAGAAAACAACAACAGTTACTTGTGAAAAGCTCACAGCATAATTTTAAAGGACATTCTCCATCAGGCCCAGGGCACTTCCTGGCAACCTGTGTCAACTCCCTGCCTCCCAATCTATCCAGTGCAGTTACCTGACAGCTCGTATTTGTGATGGACGTCTGCCTGTGAGGAATCTTCGCTTGCACTTGGAGGATGTGGAGAGGAAGTCTCTTCATCAGGGGGGAGCTAGAAAAAAAAGATTTTTGTTGTACAGGACAACGAAAGCAGGCTGAGAGACTGAAGTGACAGAACCCCAACCAGACAGCCGCTTGTGTGCACATCCAGGCAAAGGGCTCCTCAAAGATCTAACCAATGGCCAGAGCTGTGGATGGGCTGTAACCTCACAAGGGGAAAAAAGGGAGTATGTGATATTGGGAGTTGCCTTCAATTTGCTGAGAATCTTGGTTTTCGTTTAAGAAGGCAGTGAGGGACATTTCTAGACCAGTGACTGTACAGGTATGGGGGCAATGTTTGCAGCAGTCTTCAACACAACGAGATAGCTGAATACAATTTTAAAAATACTGAAGCTAGGGCATTCTTACTTACAAACATTAAATTACCCACAGCTTCTCACTGATTTACCTCTGGCTTCACAGTGCCACGATCCATTTCATCCTTTGTTGATTCCATGTCCATATCAGAGCCTGTCAAACCAACCACTGCTGCCTCTTCATCTTCAGAGATGTGGCCCCTCAATTCAGAAGCTTCACTTGTTCTAGCTGCTAGCACATCAGCTTCTTCGGAGCCCAAACGTACCTGCCCCTGCTCAGCAGGCTCACTTTTTATATCTGTTCCCAAATCCCCAAGGCTCATCAGATCTCGGATCCCTTTTGCTTCCAATTCCTCACAGTCAGGTCTTTCTTGCTTTATCGTCACTGTCATTTGGGGCAACTGGCTCTGCTTCTCGTGGTCCTGTTGGATTGGGTGCTCCCGCTGGAGGGGGTGCTCCCAAGGACTGGTTAGAGACTGAGGATCCTCAATTTCTTCACAGAAAGACAAGGCAGCCTCTACCGCTGCTACATCCAGGACTTCAGGATGATCATCCACCTTTCCAAGCAAGGACACAGAAAGCAGAAATAGATCATTGTGATAATAGGGAGGTAATGTCCTTGTGACCGAGACTGCAGGGATGCCATCCCAACTGTCCTACATGCCAGAATGCAGTGATAGAATGGATGGAAACATTTTTATGCCAGTCTTCCATAAATCAGGCTTGTGAAACTGGCTTGTGAAAGATTATAATGAGTGCAAAGCTTATTTTTGAAAGAAATTATTGTTGGGTAATGAGATTAAGAGGAGACAAGGAATATAAATTATCAACCTTTATATCTATTTAAAATATACAAAAGGTATAAAATATATCTTCAACAATACAAAAGTGACAACAAAGAATATAAATAATATAATATAAATATACCAGACAGGAGGGAATAAGTGGGTAATGAGATTAAGAGGAGACAAGGAATATAAATTATCAACCTTTATATCTATTTAAAATATACAAAAGGTATAA